GTATGTATGTGCGTATGTGTATGTGTATGTATATGTGTTTGTATATGTATATGTTTATGTATTTGTATTTGTATATGTATGTATGTATGTACGTATGAAACTGTACAAGTAGCAGCATACACACTTCCGCCACAAACAAGTGGGAATAGTGGGTCTGCCAAAACAGGGTTCTTGCTCAAGGCACTACTACATGAGCAAAGCTGGAAGGGTGGCGGATGAGATTGCCAGATATACCTATACAGGATATGTATGTGTATATATATATATATACACACATAAATATATATATATATATATATATATATATGTATGTATCTCATGCATGACACAATGCTACACTTCCGGACTATTACACAATGCTACACTTCCGGACTATTGACGCTTTACTACCCCGGACCCCGGAGCCAAGAAGCTGCACAACGTTGAAAATCAGCAATCCGCAGCCGAAGGCTGCGGGTGCCTGCAGAAATCCAGAGTCGAGGCTGTTGTCCAGACGTCGGACACATCGGAGCAAACAGGGATATGCTGCCTGGGGTTTAGGGTTTAGGGTTGAGGGCTTAGGGTTTAGGGTGAGCAGGGAAAATGTGCAATCGCACGGAGAGTCAGGGTTCCATGAATGCGAACGACAACGCTCTTCCTGAAGATTGCCTCTCTTGCGCCTAGAGACAGGGTACACCAGCATGAAGAAGAGGCATTCCGTGAACTCCACGGCCAGATACTCGAAATCAGATCTATAGCCAAGGGCATGTAGTGCAGGCCTTCCAGCCCAAGTGACCGGGAAAAAAGACAAGATCCAGGGAAACATGGCCAGCAGACAGACCTCATTTCATCCACGGATTTTATCGAAGCATGTTTGACTGGTTGTGCTGTTCGGAAGGTACAACGAACGTAACAAAAACTTTGTGAAATAAGTTGCAAGAGACACCATAAGGTATATCTGTCACGTCCCCGAGGTCTTCGACAACTGCATCATGCATTGGGCCTTGCACATACTTGTTGAACTCTTCGAGGCAATCTTCATGGTTCGCCAGGCCCGTCACAGAGCGCACGGCTAGACGGGCCGAGTAGGTTAACGACAGGTCGATGAGCTCCTCGAAGGCAAATGGGTTTAGGGTTTAGGGTTTACGGTTTAGGTGTTGTCCCTTATGATCTGCTGAACTTCCCTTCCCAGATGTCTGGTGGTGTTTGCAATCAAGATGAAAGCTCGTTTGTTGTTGCTTTTTGCTTCCACCCCCTATTCTGGAGAAAGCACGTGGCGTGAAATACTAACCGACCCACCCCTCCAGAATCGAGTCGCCAAAAACGCTGATGGGATCATTTTCAAAAGGACGGTTTGGTTCGGAGCCCTACGACGTGGAGGCCCCCCGCCTGGCTTGTCATTGTCAATCCCACCCATCGCCGTAATGTGTAACGGTTTGTTTCACAGACGGCTTCATGCTAGGCTTCTCTGCATCCTCATCCTCATCTGCTTCCTGGCCTTCATCTCCTCATCTCGATGTGAAGCGAGTTTTAGCCTTCGATCCCCACGCAAACAAACGCCTCGCCAGCTGCACCTGAAGATGGCAGAACCACAAAAAGACTTGTTCCTTCCTCTCGCTTGTCCAGGCTCTTCAAACAACTCCAAAATACGCAGGAAGCTGCATCATCCCTTCATCCGAATCCGAGGAGGAAGGATAGCTAGGCTCAACAAGGCATCCTGCTTCGTAAACCTGTCAAGGAGGAAGCAGCGAATGCAGCCCTCTCTTGAGGTTTCGGCTGCAGGTTGGTTGGCTTTGCATGTTGGGGCATGGGCTCCTGCCGCTCGTCCTCTGAGTTCTCCACCTAGGATGTGCAAGGGAAGCCAAACGCAGGAATGTAGGCTGGAGAACTTTGGGAGCCTGCAAGCAGCGATCTCCACCCAAGACTTAACCCAGATAACCCTCTCTTAGCCACGCAGTTTTTGCAAGCTTCGAACACATGTTCCGACCCGAAAAAAGAACCCCTAAACCCTAATCCCCTAAACCCTAAACCTAAACCCCTGAACCCTAAACCCTAAACCCTAAAACTCTAAACCCTAAACCCTAAAACCCTAAACCCTAAACAGAGATCCGGCCACTTCGACCGATACAGCGATGATGGGATCCTCCAGCCCGTCGAAAAGCTCTGCCACTTGGGCCTGCAGGGGTTTAGGGTTTAGGGTTTTTGGGGTTTGGGGTTTAAGGTTTTTGGGGCTTAGGGTTTAGGGCTTTTGGGGTTTAGGGGTTAGGTTTTTTTTGGGGGGTTTAGGGTTTAGGGTTTAGGGTTTTAGGGTTTCAGGGTTTCGGGTTTAGGGCTTTAGGGTTTTAGGGTTTTGGGGGTTCAGGGTTTAGGGTAACAGGGTCCCGACATTCATCGCAGGGAACTTCTGTGCTGGTTTTAGCAATCTTACAGATGTCTAGAACCCAGTCTTGTGCTATGCGCGGGCCGCAGCCAGTTGAACAGTTGAACATGCCAGTCATAGTGTTTAGGGTTTAGGGTTTAGGTCTTAGGGGACTGCTGCAAGTCTGAAACAGAACCACCCAGGTTCCAACACTCTGTCATCACCAGTTTGGATCACCAGGTCGGGAAGCAGGACTGCCACTTGTCAGGGTTAGGTTCGCAAGACAAGTGTAAGTATGCGGACTGAACCCTAAACCCTAAACCCTAAACCCTAAACCCTAGACCCTAAACCCTAAATCCTAGACCCTAAACCCTAAACCCTAAACTCTTTAAACCCTAAGTCGTAGGCAGGCTTTTCGGCTATGGGGGCTACGCCCTGCGGGGCTCTTGACCAAAGCAGGGATGACTTCTAGGGTTTAGGGTTTAGGGTTTAGGGTTTAGGGTTCAGAGTCTGGTCGACGAAAACGGCTCTGCCTGCAGCATCGGGATCAGAGTTTGGGCAGTCATCTCTGTTGGCATCTGGTCGCACAGTTGTGACAAGTTGTGACTCATACAAAGTCTTTGAAGCACGGTTCCAGTACATAGCTGGCTTGTCTCAAAGCTTGCCTGAACCCTAAACCCTAAACCCTAAACCCTAAACCTGTCAGCCACCGAAAATACACAAGGCATCCATCGCTTTGTTTGTCACAGGCTTCAGTCCAGGCGTAGGCTCCTGGGTTGGCATCACCATCAGGAGTGAACGGGTCTGCAATAACATGTTGGAGTGGGGCAGACTACAGGCTGTTGGTTTAGGGTTTAGGGTGTAGGGTGTTCTAGCTGTAGGGGCATAAGATGAGCTAGGACGCGAGGTTCAAGATACAGATATTCTTCACGACCCGTGGTCAGGATACGCTTGCTAGGGCTTGGGATCCAATGCCTCGATGGCTAGACGGTCGTTCTCCACGGCACACTTTGCATTCCGCACGTCAAAGGACTTCATGCTTTCCAACATGTCTCGGTGGCCGTCCAGCTTCTTCTGAAAGGAGACAATTCCTACCATGATGGGCAGCAGCCAGAAGAAAAGGTAACCTTCAGTTGCCACCGCATACCCCCAGAATCGCTTCAAACCGAAAGCAAGCGCGTTGCCCGCAGCTCCCGACAGTTTGCTCGTGTCATTGATGCCGGGGATCAGACTCGGTGAAGACGGCGACGAGACGAGCTGAAAAGTAGGAGAGCAACATTGTCGTCAGCAGCCACGGAGTGAGCCACAACGGCATAAGCCGCAGATTCTTGAGACCGTTTCCTTTGAAGAAAATCGACAGCTCAAAGTTGCACCAGAGCCTTGTTGCTTGTCACGGTTTCAGGGCTTCCAGAGAGAAGCCAATACTCTAGATCATGCCGCTTCATTTTTGTTATGCTTTATGCTAGGAGCCATTGAAACCTGCTTGGAACAAGCCAAAGCAGCCGTTGGTAGTATGATTTGTCCCACAAGACGAGCAGTTCTGAAGAGTTCACCACAATCGTGGGCAAGCCTGCGATCCCTTCCGCCTTCGTTTTGGCGTTGGTTTGGTCCACGCAGAGCCTGTCTAACCACATGTTGGGACCCCAGACTCCAAAGGTGAGGTGCTGCCCAAAAAAGAATACCCAAAAGAAGACCACAATTGGCAAGTCCAGCAGGAACACGAACATCACATGGATGGACATATCGGCGAAAGCCAGCATGGAGGCTTCGGATAGCACCACAAATGCCGCCATCGCCTTTGTTGCCAAACCGAGGTTTCCTGGATCGTTGCTGCAGAATGTGAACCGGAATACCCCACAACCTCCACGAAAAGAAAGCACTCGGTTTAGGGTTTAGGGTTTAGGGTTTAGGGCTAAACTCGACCCTGGTTCAGAAAGTAGCACACGGCCAGGTATTTCTCCCATCGGCCAGCTGACCAGGAATGGCTGATGAACACATCGACGTCCTTGACCTTGGACCGCATCTCCCGAATTTTATTGGGGCAGAAATACTGCGACGACAAGCGAAAGCTCAGCATGGACTACCAGGGCCATTGTCAGAGTTAGCCCTAAGGCTCCATGTACCCATATAGTACATACTTAGGCCTTAAATTACCTCTATAGGGACCCCTTTAAGGCCTAAGTATCTACTATAAAGGTACATGGAGCCTTTGGGTAGGTACGAGTAGGGCTTGTGCCCAACAGCAGGGGTGGCGGACATCCCAAGCCATCTCGGGGGTCTAGGAGCGCAGAGTTGAAATCCCGGGGGCAGGTTTAGGGGGTTTGGGTTTAGGGTTTAGGGTTTAGGGTTTAGGGTTTAGGGTTTAGGGTTTAGGGTTTAAGGTTTAGGGTTTAGGGTTTAGGGTTTAGGGTTTAGGGGTTTGGGAGGCACCTTTGCCTGATGACTAAAATCACTACCGGGTAAGCCCAACTCGAGTCGCCGGGGTGGTGCTCAGAAACTCCGGCACGCTCCCGGTGTCGAAGATTTGCCTCAGCGGGAGTGTGATGTGGGTTTTGAGTGTTGGGCCTTAGACCCTAAACCCTAAACCCTAAACCCTAAATTCTGGACCGCAAGTGTGTCGGGTCTGCTGTCATGGCTCACAGTGGAGCTCGAACCGTATTTTCTGATAGTTATTTATATGATAATAGTTATCCAGGTCGTCTACTTTTCTTCATCCAATTTCACTAAAATATGTTTTAATCCATCAACAAAAACCTAAACCCTAGACCCCAAACCCCAAACACTAAACCCTAAACCCTAACCAAAAAAATGCACTTCTCTCCGAGTCGCCCCAAGCCCGAGAGCACTCCCAAGCTGCTTGCAGCACGGAAGAGACCCTTTTCCTTACTTCCCCCAAGAAGGCAGGGAAATAAAAGGGTAGGGTTTAGGGTTTAGGATTTAGGGTTTAGGGTTCAGGGTTTAGGGTTTAGGGTTTAGGGTTTAGGGTTTAGACTACTAAACCCCAAAAAAGTTTAAAGGTTGGCTATTGGAGAACTAAGTCTCCCAGAGCTCACCGGCCCGAGCCTTCAGTCGTCGCATGGGCGAAGCCCCACCGTCGGCTCTCTCCTCGAGCCGCTTCAGGGGGGCCCCCAGAGAACCCAATAGCCCATAATTAAGGACATATACCTTACAGGGCTCCTGAAAGGGATCTATAAGGGTTTTCGGGCTTTGGGTTTAGGGGAATTCAGGAATAGACCTTCAATCATAATATTAAGGGCCCTATAATTCAAGGCATCTTCCTGAATTACGGAATATTGGGTTCTCTGGGCCCTTGCTTTTGAATCGCTCCGAAGAAATAGGGCTTGATCCACGGCGGCGGGCATCAGATTTGGAGAAGCTTGCCTTTCTTGCAAGGGGCCGGCCACGTCCTCGCTCAGACTGGTTAATATAGGAGCCCTAATAATTGGAGTAGGGTTTTGGGGCCCATTGTACTATAAATATAATAAGGAACCCCCAACATATTATAGGTGTATAGGTAATTATTGAGGCCCCTACTATAGAACCCTATCATAGATCCCTTATAGAACCCTTTAAGGATCCCTTTTAAAGGAACCCTATTCTAATTATTAAAGCCCCTATGTTAATTCAGGAGGGTCTTCAGGTCTTCTGAAGGACAGACTTTTCGCAGCAGATCTCGGGCGCTTCAGTCGGACACTTCTCTCTACCGAATAGCACGCCTGAAACCTTTTGGTAATCAGTGTCTAACTAGTTAAAGAAATTGTTCATTCATGAAGCCCCGGCGAAAGGAGGATCTGCTCCGGTATATGGTATCTACTACTACTACTACTACTACTACTACTACTACTAGTACTAGTACTAGTACTAGTACTAGTACTACTACTACTACTACTACAACTACTACTAGTACTACTACTACTACTACTACTACTACTACTA